CGCCGGTTGGCTATAATTGACTGCTACTAACATAAAACGTGAACAAACATTTCAGCTACAAACACTGGACTAGTATATTCACACGTGTGGATCAATATTTCAATCGCCGGAGATTGGAATACCAATTCAGGGATACACCACTTGGACGCCATGGGTGGCTAGAATTAACAAACCTGACCCGAGCTTTACAAATTCGTGCATCGGCCTCATCCGTCACACTACAGTCGGAACTAATACAACTTCCAAGATACGTAAAACACCTCACAACTCCCAGTACCTCTCCCTGGATTGTAAGTGGCGTGTTCAGTGACTGCATGTCCAGGAGCATGAACTTACACTTTGTGGGCGCAAAGTGCATACCAAAAAACAGGATGACAAGATATCCAGTTAAGCGAGGATGCTTTCGCCCGTTGATTTAGCATGATACCATCCCCTGCACATCAAGCTGCAGTAGCCTTTGGATTACCAGAGGGTCACCACCAGGCGGAAGCGAGCGGAGACTGATGGGGCGGTTAGCTCAATCACTGTGCTTAAATTCTTGTTTCTGAGACACAGTACATATTGATCCCAAGCGAGTCCAGTGTGAGAAAAAGAGCAGCTTGTTGTCCTGTTTGCTTCAGAGTGCGCACATTGAGGGCGGCCACATAGACTGGGTGCTGAGGTTTGAAGGTTGATTTAAAAATAAACCTGACGACGTCGCGCCATTTGACGAGCAGAGGTTGCAAGCAAAGTTGATGCAAGACAAACGGAGTCATCAGTCCTAAGTATTGGGCTTACAAAAAGAGGATTATCAATGAAGTAGGGAGAGGGGGAAGAAAGGTATGTGAAAGAGAAGGAAGGCGTCAGCAGTAGCCTGTTTTCGCTTACCCGCCCTGCTGTATGCAGCATGTAAGGCAATCCGGCTGATGGCACCGCGAGACGGCCAATATGGCATGACTTTATTTGTATACGTGCGGTTCATATTTGTACGTAGGTTGGGATACTGTCAGAGCGCCAGTACCTAGACAGGGAAGACAATTAGGGTACTCAACTAAAGCCTTTGGCTCAAAAGCCAAAGCAAGAGAGACCTAACCTTACTGAGCACGTCCAGCGAGCCGCTTCGGAAATGGTCACTGGCCTTATACCCGTGGACCAAAACGCGTCTCGCACCTCCAAGTAGGTCTAATGCCTACCTATGCCTTGTATGAATGAGGTTTGGCCAACAGATTTTCACCGTTAGCCCAACTAACATACGGTTGAGACATGGTAAGAAGATTTTCAAGCCCAGAGCACACCTCTGTTAAGTAAGTTTTTCACATTTAAAGTATTTGGTACGCGGAATAACCTTTCTGGCAGTCGTTCACGCTGCATCTGCTACCCAGCCTCAAACATTTTTAGACGCAACAGCGTCTAAACATGTTCATGAGAGTCTTCGCGCTAGCTTACTATCCCACGCTGAGAGTTTCGAAAGCAGCGCTACATCCTCTTTTCGCTTGTGGTTTCAGGTGTGCAGCAAACCGCGAATCCGTGAATGGTTTAAAGACTACACGCCATCAGCTGGAAATACTTGTCTTCATAAATGCCTCCTTTTGCTCACTGCCTGGGTTATTACCACCGGTTTGCACGGACTCGTGGGTTAATGATTTACGTGAATCAAGTGCGGTACCACGCGGTGTCATGTGCGCGGTCCCGGACACATTGTGTGGCTTCACGGATTCACGGATTAATACACAGGATCGAGGCTTTTGCCCAAAATTCCCGAGTCGGTTTTGTTCTTTTCGGTCAGTGGCTGTCGTTCACCTGAAAAGCGAAAGTGACAAATGGTGTAGCACGGCTCTTTAAGTCCTCAGAACGGGCCACTATGCTTGCCAACGCGAGGATGCGCATAAATAAATGTCTAGTAGTTCTTTGAACTGGGTTCTAGGGGGAGTGTGGACAAACGTCGGAGGAAGGTCATTCCACGCAGCTGCTATCGAAATGAGAAAAAACTCTGAGCTTGAAAATCTTCTTACCCTGCCCCTGCCGTGTGTTTGCTGGGTTAACTGTGAAAAACCTGTTGGCCAAGCCTTGTTCAAACAGGACATAACTAAGAATTAGGTCCCCTCGGAGGCGACGATACTCCAGGGGAAAGAGGTCAAGCATCACAAGACGGGTATCACAGTCCACGGATTTGAGGCCGGCAACCGTTTTCGTAGAGGCTTGCTGGACACGCCCAATGAGGGTGGCGACTTTCGTGCGTCCTGAGTAGACAACTTGGTTGGCGTATTCCCGAAGCGGCTTGACGTAGACCCCATAGAGTATTTTGAAGTCCATGCGAGTAATACGGGAGAAGTTGCATCAGATCATCCGTAAAATGGCGGATGCCTTTTGCGCCGATTTCTTATGATGCAGTGAGAAGGGCACGTTTGACGAGAGCCAGATATCCAAATTCTTTTGACTTCCATCCTCATAATGTTTTATGATTCTTTCTCATCACGCACGACAAAGGCATTCGCTGAGTCTCCTCCGAATGACATATAGATACACTTTTCGCCGTCCAGAGGAATGTGTTAGTCCAACAACCACTGCTTTGCAACGTTTACATCCACTAGGAGGGCACTGACATTGCAACTCCAGGATTTCAAGTCGTCCGCGAAAAGTAGACATGGACTTGCAAGAATATCTGGAAGGTCGGCGCCGTACATGAGAAACAGCAGTTGTTTGAGAACAGAGCCTTTAGAAACTCCCATGGAGACCGGCGCTGGAGAAGGGTAGGTCAAGTCTGTTCTTACTCGGAATGAACCGTCTGATAGGAACGTCTTGATTCGGTGAAGGATTTTCCCTTGAACCCCATAAGACTCGAGCTTGTGGAGCAGCGGGACGTGTGGGACCCTATCAAATGCTTTTGAGAAGTCGAAAAATATGGCATCCGATATGAGTCCTTCGTCCTTGGCTTGGGTTAAGCTGTCCATAAACACGAGCATGTTTGT